GGGGGGGGGGGGGCGTGCCTTTAACCCCAGCTACTTAGGGAGGCTGAAGCAGGAAGACTGTTAAGTTTGAGGCCAGTTATTTAGCAAGACCCCGTCTCAAAATAAAAACAAAAAGGGATGAGGATGCAGCTCAGTGGTAGAGCAACCTTGGGTTCGATCCCCAGCCCCTCAAAAAAAGTAAAAGAACAGAAAAAGGGGTACCAAGGAAAACATTAACATTAGGAAAACAGCCTTACCCAAAAGCACTGACTACTCTAAGGAGTTTATGGAGGAAATCAAGAAATCACTATGAAAGCAGGCTAGGCATACAGCACAGTGACAGAGGGCTTGCCTAGCACGCCGGGAGCCCTGGGCTTGATCTCCAGCCTTGCAAAATACACAAAATACGTGTGTGTGTGTGTGTGTGTGTGTGTGTGTGTATGCAGTTAAATTAGCTCACTACAGAAATTCAAAAATAATTCTAAATTATTCCTAAGTCAAAGTTTAAAATACAAGAAGAAAATATACAACTTGTGTTCAATGAAAGCTGAGGAAAATTTCTAACTTTGGAAGCCTCTGAGAAGAAAGGCTTCACATGAACATGCTAGTTATCTGACAGCTATTTATATCAATAAATAAAATAAACTTGGAGAGAAGACTTGGGAGAAGTCTTTGAGAAAAAACTTGGAGAAGGTACTTGTTTCGTTTTTATGCTTTTATACATAGACTACTGAACCTTACTGAACCAGAATTCATGAAGCCTGGGAATACACATTATTAACAGACTCTTAGGTCACTCTAATAACCCAGGGCAGGGGAGGTTAGGAACTCCTGCCTCCAAGAGGCTAATTCACTGCTTTGCTCTGCAAAGCAACATTAAATAATGTATTTTCAAAACCTAAGAGGGGTTTTATTCAGGTCACTAAATAAGCTAACAGAGCCCTTTCTAAAGGAGATCTAAAGACTAAGTAAGGGAGACAGTTACAACAGCCATTCTGYACCAGCAAAAGCACTGGCCAAGAGGTAACTAAATGCCCATCTGGAGAGTCCTTCCTTGGCACAGTCCAGGAAGAATGACCCAGGTCCAAATCCTGAGAAACACTGGACCTTGTGTAGAAGCTTGAGCAAAGAATAACCCATGAATTGTAAGCCCTTTGAAGCTACTGATATCCCCTCTCCTCAGCTGATGTACCATGATGACATTTTACAAGTAGGCAAAGCTCCTAGGAACATCTGCAGCAGATGGATGATGTGCCAAACCACAAGAATGCATCAATACACTCCCTTCAAAACGTGTGGCTGGTTGCCAATATACCATATTGATTTTCCTAATAGACTGCATTTAAACTAAACATCATTCTGCCCATGGTCTGGATGGTCAAATTGACACGACCCGATTCAATCACTATGGTGCCATTTCAGGATCTGGAAAGGGAAGAGCAAACTTGATGAAGAACCATCAAAATCTCTAGGTAGTGCTACCACTGCCATGTCAATCAAACCAAGCCAAAGCCAGCTCCATAACCCTGTCACAGCTGCTCTGTTCTTTCAATGCCTTTGCAGCAGCTGTTCCCTCTGCCTGGAACATTCTCTCCCTTATCTGTCTATCAAAGCCTTAGTGTCCTACCCTATCAGCATCTTTTTCATGCCTCCTTAACTTCCTGCACGAGCCTGTGAGTCTGCGAGCCTGTGCACCGCCAGGCAGCGTCGTGCACTTTCCTCCTTTGTTCCGGTGACCCTAAACACAATTCTTGCATGGAACTTGCTACTTCACTTGCCTAGAAACACAACAGCTCAAATACTGAACTGCTCTATTGATGTGTGACTTTGGACAAAAGTTCTCCAACCTCCCAATTTCTCCACCTTCTCATTGTAAAACAGATTATAATAATCTGTACTTCGTAGAAAATGTGAGAGAGATAAATGAGACCAAACACAGAAGCACTTAACACAATGCCCAACACATGGCAGCTACTATTTCTTAGCTGAACAAATGAGAGATACAAGGGTCAGAGGACACAGAAGACACCGAATCTGGAAGGAGACAGGGAGGCGAGCACACTGAAGGAACCTCACAAAGACATATGTTAGGTAATCTTTTGCTCTGATCCATACAAGTGACATTTCAGATGACACAGCCAGAGGAAGATTCACACCATGGAAGTGCTGGCTGACCTCTTATGCTTCACAGCTCCTGCCAACAGTTTTGCCTGGGAGAACTTGTTCTTGGTTTCTATGGGTTTCACCGTCAATTTCTTCTCCACCTCCTTCTTGTTTTCTGCAGAAATTCCAACCTTGTTGAGATTGCTGTGAGTTACAGGTTAAGGGTCAAACTAAACAAAAGCCACAGGACTATGGTAATCAAAAGGAGGACAACAAATATAATCCACTGGCCCTTTGGCTGTATCATATCATGTTTGGCCTACTTATTAAAAAAAAAAAAAAAAAAAAAAAAACCCAGCCCCTTACCTCTTTATTCTGCCTGTTACATCCAGCTGATTTAAACAGAAACGAAGGTGACCTCAAAGGGAGACAGTATATCAAGTCCAAAATAACACAGGCAAGCAACTTTTTCCTCTGACTTTCAATGAAAATCAAAGCATATCCAGAGAACCCAGTATTACCAAAGACATGCTTGAGGAGAAAACAAGGATCTTAAGAAATATGAAGGAAACAGGGAGAAATTATGGTTTCCCTTAAAATATGTGCTTCTCCCTATCAAGGGTGAAACTGGATTTTGCAGATGTCTTTATGACTATCAGTGGCACTCAAACTTGGATCATGAAGGCTAACTCCCGCTCTGCTCGTACAATGCAACACCAGAACAATGCAACACCAGAATTCCCTCAAAGCTCGTTAAACATGAAGACTCCCTCTTCTGTCTCCTGTCCCTGACTACTGAGTAAGGCTCTCAGAGGMCCAAGAGTCGTTTTAACACTCTCTTAAGGTGATTTTAATAAGAAATCCTGTGCAAACATAACCCAAGCAACAAAACGCTATTTGTAAAAGCATAAGCAGAGTGCTTGTCACATCACTGTTTCATGCCCCATGTCAACCTCTCACTCTCAAGGTCTGTCACTTTCGCTTGTTCTGCCAGCCCCTTGGCTCCCTTTTATTTTCTTTTCTTTCTCACAACAGATTAGAAAACAGAGTATTCTGCCACAGTATAAGTTCTTAAGATGTGGTAGTAACTTACTGAACAATAGTGACATCTAGTGCCCAAGAATCCAAGCAGCAGCCCAAAGAGGTGGGCAGAGGTACATAATCTRGATACAAAATCTAGGTTTTTTATCTCTGTGTCCTTGAACTATAGAAAACTGGGTACCAGAAACGAGGAAATGCTCATTCTGATCATTCTTTAGGCACCAATTCTGTTCCTACAGCATTAATTAGCTTAAATATTTGTAGTATTAGATGGGCATTGTGTAAAATGCTCAGTACTATTCTCAAATTCATCAATAAAAACATAATATGCTAATGCTGAATGTTAATATTGTTTAAAAAATAGAAAGAAATGGAGATTTCAAAAAAACACTAGCCTGAAGCTTTTTTTTGGTGKGGGGGGGAGTGTACCAGAGATTGAATTCCGGGCACTCAATCACTGAGCCACATCCCCAGCCCTATTTTGTATTTTATTTAGAGACAGGGTCTCACTGAGTTGCTTAGCACCTTGCTTTTGCTGAGGCTGGCTTTGAACTCGAAATCCTCTTGCCTCAGCCTCCCGAGCAGCTGGGATTACAGGCATGCGCCACTTCGCCCAGTCCACCTGATGCATTTTTACCTGCAACTTCATCAATAAGGAACAGAAACTCTCAAAGAGAACTTTCAATATTAAATATAGAAAAAATAAAACAAAAATGGGAAAAAATACAACAAAACCATATATGTATTTATAATACCAGATCCCAGACAAAGAACAACATTTAACCTTTATTCTTTTAAAGTGAAGAAAAGTCCCACCCTTTGTTTGGCAGGGAGAGAGGTGGTAATCTTATTTTTGTTCCACAGTTAAAGCACAAGATTTTCCCTCCTTGAGTCCTTTTCCCTCAAAATGCTTTTAAAATAGACACATACCTCAAAAATATCAAGGAATTCTTTAGATGAAGAATTTCTTAAAACTGCATAATTTTAAATATACATAATATTACTAACTACTAGTTTAACAACTAAAGTGCTGTTGTTTACATGGCACAAACCATAGTTTATTTGCATTCAGAAGTATCATGTTATGAGATGTATCATGTCAAAATATGCAAAGCCATGAGCCAGCTCCTAATCTAGAGCCTCAATAACCAAATGTCTAATTCTTCCTCTCCTATCTCCCCTCATCTCCGGCTGCTTGTATTCATGGGATCAGTGCATCAGGGGTGAGGTCGGCTTTTTGTCAGTTTTTCTACACAGTCAGAACTTCCCAAGTTTCCAGCCAAATCCAACATCCCTCAGAGCCTCTGTAGTGTTGTAATACAATGTTAACAGGACAGAAAAGTTTCTGTTCTTTCCTTCCTTTTAGTTGAAAACTGAAGGGCATTTCACACAGCCCTACTCTCCAGAATGCTCCCTTGGGAGACACTTGCTGCCAACCTAAAACAAGATGTAACTCAAATGAGAAGTGCTAAATTAATGTATTTCCTTGAAGGAAAAAGCTTGGGTCTGAAGCAATGTACTACATGTATCTGTCCATTGCTACAAATATCAACACATAATACTATTTTGGGGTCATCAGGGTCAGGGTTGGGGAGTTCAAAAGAATCAGTCTCACTCCTACAGCTGAAACTGAGGAGTAACTTTCCATCAATTCCTATCCTCAAGCTGCATCTGAATGTTACTAACAGACTGAGAATGGAAGCTAGGACTTTTGCAACCAGTTTATATCCAAACACAATCCCAGGGAATCTGCAGTTTCTCTCATAACTCAAAATGGAACCAACTGCACATTTCYTGCAAAAAAAAAGACCAACTAAGCACATTATTGTCAGAGGTGAAGCCTGTTTCAACACAGTAGTGAGGTTATTCAACACATTAGCTTGAAATATTCAAATAAATTTCCTCACAGGAAGAAAAAAGGTTAGGGAGGCCACATTAACATCTAAAGTCACTCATTAATTTATTCACATATTTCCTAAGAATATACTACATGTCAGGCACTGGGAAAAGTAGTGGTCAAGTCTTTCTGTTATTGCTGCTAGTAGTAGTAGCAGTAGTGGCTTTGTAGTACTGGAGATTGACCCAGGGGGACTTTACCACTGAGCTATATTCGCAGCTCCTTTTTATTTTTTATTTTGAGACAGGGTCTCACTAAGTTACTAAGCCTGGCCTCGAACTTGCAATCTTTCTGCCTCAGCCTCCCAAATAACTGGGATTACAGGTGTGCACCACTTGCACCCAGCTTACGTCCTGGTGATTATGGAGCTTACTTTGCATTTCAGCAGTAAAAAGATAAAACAACCCAGTAAAAACAAATGACAATTTTCAGATAGTGACAAGTGCTATTAAAAAAAATGGTACCACAGAGCCTGGAGTGTATCTCAGAGGGCAAACATAGGCTTAGTATGCATGAGGCTCTAGGTTCAATACCCAGCACTGCAAAAAAAAAAAAAAAAAATTTTGTAACTCAAAAGCCAATTTTTCCCCTGCATGATGTTGACTACATTGCCCTGTCTCAAGAGCCTGATTCCACAAGGCAGGAATATACACAGCTACCTCCTGGATTTATGCCTGTACTCAATACTAAAGAATGTGGACTTGTGATTACAGTTTTTTTAAACTCTTGCATGCAACAACACAGACCCTGCAGATCACTACCAGTCATTCAGGGCCCACGAGTTCAAAGAACTGAAAAGGGAGTAGAGTTGCAAAATACTTTGAAGATCACCAAATATTTATGAGAATACTGACACTGCACAGATTTCCCTCCAAGTACAAAGGATATTCTGTATTCCTTCAATTCTTTCAGTTCTTCTTCTCTTCGTTGCTTTTCTATAAGTTCCTGCTGCCGAGAAACCTCATCAAGGAAGTTGGTCTCATCTTCATCTAAACCTCTTACCATGTTTTCTGAGGAAATAATTAAAAAGGAACACTAAGTAAGCTAAAGGGAAAATATAGACAAATAAGACTTTTTTTTTTCTTTTTTTAATAAACTGCAGGTTCTTCAGGGGATTAGGAGAAAAAACTGCTAAATACCATGGCTTTTAGATAGATGATGTGGCATAAAATCAAGRCATTTCTCCCATTACTAGATATTAGCATAGAATTTAAATGGGTATCTTGAGCTTTAAACAAAATGCTCAGTGTGGTCTAGAAGGCAGAAGGCTGTCTCTTTTCCACCAAATGAGCATCTGGAGATGAGATAATCAAGACAATTCCACTGCTAGTTAGAAAGAATGTTACATGAGGCAAAAGCGATCAAAAAAGACCCTGTAGAGTCCCCTGGACGTTGTATTTTCTGAACCTTACTGAATTTGAACTGCTCCTCATACTCCTGCTGCTTCCTGTCTTTCTGCTCCTGTAGCCTTTCATACAGAGACCGAGGGTCATAAACCTCCTCTGGACACTCTGAAAGAAAGATGAGTAGATACAGTGGGGAGGGGGAGATATACACTTTAGAATTTTTTCATACTATTTTGGAATCATGAGGAATTTTTAATATAAAGCCAAGTCCTGCATGATCTGAAGGTGAGGATAACACAAAAATAGCAAGAAGCCCACTGCTTCCCTTTGGATCTCGAAGAGGGGTCAAAGGTTCTCAAAGGCCAACTACCAATGTCAATAGGGCCCATGCCTGGGACAGTTATGTGGCTGAGGGATCAGCCCACACCCTCCACAGCAGCGGTGTTCTCAGCTGCTCAGACTGTGGGTTCACCTATCCAGATGGAACAGACTAGCAGAATCTCCCGGAAGCCAGTGTGGGAGAGAAGAAAGAGTAAGATGTGAGCGAGCACCCCAGTGTGCCACAGAGGCCTTACACAGCTCCYCCTGAGCCTCGGTTCTTCGACTCTAAAGCAAGGACAACCAATGCCTATGTGGCAGGCACTATAAGGATTAAAGATCACTATGTAAATGTCCAACCACAGGCCTATGTACCTTCTGGATCTTCAGGTTTTCGAACTTTCTCCCATTCTTCTTGCCTCCTTTTGCGCCGTTCATCTAGTTCTGCCTCAGATACAAACCTCTTTTTGATGACAAGGTTACCATCATCCCCTCCATCCATACTGGAACAATCAGTCTACCAAAAAAGGGAGAAAGAAAGAACTGCAATTAAAATTTCAAAGAGAAACAAGTGAGCTCTGTTTCATCCAGGAATAGATTAAAATGTTTTCTTCCTCAAATGGTTTAATTTATTAGGTCATTGTTGAAAGGACAAAATTACATTTTCCCTAATTTATCAGGTTACCTACAGAGTCAGTGAAAGAACGTGGAATAATTCTCATTACCTGGCGTTTCACAGTAAATGTCAGTGTCCCTCTATTCCAAACAAACTGGTCTCCTGGACATCTCACCCTTTCCCCAGCTCTCATCCTCTTTTATTTCTATAATATTTCAAAAAAGTTTTTACCAATGAATTACAGTTATATATAATAGTGGGGTTTATTTTGACATATTTATAAATGCATATAAAATAATTTGCTCCATTAGTCCCTAGTATTTTGCCCTTGCCTTCCCTTCTCTCCTCCCTCCCCAATTCCCATTTCCATAATATTTGACATTATTCCTTCTTGAAATGCCTGTTTCAGGGACAGGTCCCTATCTTGATTCACCTGCTCTCGCTTCCAAGAAATTCAGATGAGAATCTCAGGTACCCAAAGAGCTTTAGTGATGGAGTCCAGGCTGTACAGCAGGGAAGTGATAGGCCTAGAGATACACAACCAGGAATGGAGAGTGAAACTAGAAGAACCCAGGTCTCCCACACACTTTCCAAGCTATCAAGCCAAATCCTCTTAACCACCCTCCCTCTAAACACCCTGTTTGCACACTTAGAATTCTATCTTCATTCCTTCTCTTTTCTCATTCACACAACAATCTTGACCATCTTATGCATGTCTTTATGCAGAAGATTCCCAGTCTCCTATGTATCTTCTTCATCTACCTGGACCTTTCTTTAGAGAAGAGGGGAGAAGGAAATAAAGATAAAATAGTGTATATTATTCCTTTTAAACTAAGCCTCTTTCTGTTTTTGCTTGCTGGTTTCTTTCCTTTCAAAGAATTGTGGAATTAACCATCCTCTGATGTGTTATGTATTCTTCACATTACTCCCTAACAAAGAGGCACATACTCAACCCAATGTCCACTTAAAGATGACTGCTAATTAGAAAAACAATAAAGTTTACTAAAAGTAAGAAAGAAAGTCTGCTATCACAAAAGTAAAGCAGATAACTGAGTGTGATAGGCATTCCTGTAATCCCACCTACTCAGGAGGCTGAAGCAGGGCATAAATTCAAAGCCAGCCTCAGCACCTTAGTAAGACCCTGTCTCAAAAATAAAAAAAAATAAATAAAAAGGGCTGGGGATGTAGCTCAGTGGTAAAAAGCTCCTGGGTCTTTTCAGTACCCCCCAAAAATTAATTAAATGAAGTAATAGTATTTACTAAGTTCATACCACATACTTTGTATTTACATAAATGTTGACCCTATAAGAAATATTATCTCTTAACAAATGGAAAATAAGTTAGAGAAATTTTATCAGTTGTCTAAGGAAATAAAGATGGTAAATGGTAGAGCCAAAAATCAAATCCAAACCTGACATCAAAAATTCCTACTCTTAGATGGGCATGGTGACACACATCTGTAATCCCAGCAGATCAGGAAGCTGAGAAGACTATAAGTTCAAAGCCAGCCTCGGCATTTTTTTACCTGTCTCAAAATTTAAAAAAAATAAATAAATAAAAAGGGCTGGGGATGTGACTCACTGGTAAAGCACCCCTGGGTTCAATCCATGGTACCAAAAAAAATCATACCCTTACTCACTTTTACCATATTTCTCCCCCAAAACCACCACTTTTGGTTGAAAACAAGAGCATGTCAATTTCAGCTTTTTTTCTACATCAAATTCCAGTGCTGAGAATGTTCATGCAACATTCTTATTTAATAAAGCTAGAAATGAAGCAAACACACTCTAACATTCAGAACAAGAGAAATAGTAATCATCTCAGCCTGAAAGCTACTATTTGAGGTTTAGTACAACATAACAACAAGAGAGAATTGTGAAAATTACTACAAAAAAACTAAATCAATTGACAGAAGCTGTTGTTCCCACATGAGCATCACATCCTGGACACCTCTCACCACTACCACTCATCACATTTCAATACAGAGGGTTATTACAAAAGCAGAACTGTTCAGTCTCTGTGCCACATCCCAAATTCCTCAAGGTCTGCAGAACCACCTCTTCTAAAACAAGTCAAAAATTTATTAAATATTCCTAGCAGAGGAAATGCAAACTAGGTAGGGCTCTAATGGATGGGAGAGACATACTGGACTCTCAATTTCCCCCTTTCTTACTCTGTTATAGCTGTTTGCTATAGCTCTCCTTTCTCACCCTGTATTAGCTCTGTTTTTTCCCCTCACCTATGTCTTGGCAAATAATTCAGAGAAGACAGGTCCCTATAACTCTACCAAGCATCTGAATCCACCAAACATACCCAGAAGATGAGCACCTAATTCACGTTTCAAAACCTCAAGATGGACTACTGCACTCCCTTTCCAGGCAGCCAAGCCTTCTCTGACAGGCCTGACCTTCCTCCTTAAAGTAACTGAAATCTGTCTCCCTATAAACTCCAAGAATAGGTTCAATTCACTGGGACTACACAAGAAGGAGCCAAAGCTTTTCCAAGATGACAACAGGACAGTTGTTTGATGCTAACTCCCTGTTCCTCCTAACTTGTTACTTTTCTGGGCCAAACATTCCTAGTTGCTTAACCTTACAAAGTAAAGAAAAGCAACTAAGGGCAGGGGTCGTGGCTTAGTGGTAGAGTACTTGCCTACCATGTGTGAGGCACTGGGTTCGAGTCTCAGCACCACACATAAAGAAGTAAATAAAATAAAGGTCCACCAATAGCCAAAAAWWTTTTTTTAAAAATTGTYTCAAAGTACTGAATTTACTTGAGCCAAGGTAGATGGTCACACTTAGCAGTGGTTTTCTGTGAGTTCAAAAGGGACAAGACTAAACCAATGCTTTATCTATCTTTCTTCAATGTGCATTTTCCTCCATAGCTCTTCACTTGCTGGCACTTCAACTGCTGCAGTTCCCTACCTGCCTCYAACACCACCAGCGGCTCTCTGTATATTTAATTTTGATCATCTTTCAACATTTAAGAAAGGTCTAAGATATCGACACAAAATTTTGATAAACAAGTAGCCATAGTCCTGAGTATTCTGGATAATAATCAGGTCTTGCTGGGCACAGTGGTGCATGCCTGTAATCCCAACAACTTGGGAGGCTGAGGCAGGAGGATGGCAAGTTCAAAGCCAGCCTCAACAATTTAGCAACTTATTTTGAGATTCTGTCTCAAAGAATAAAAAGAACCGGGGATGTGGCTCCATGGCTAAGCATCCCTGGGTACCAAAAAAAAGAAGAAAGAAATATTCAGGTCTTTTCAGGATTCAAACCTTCATTGTCAATACTGCCAATAAGTAAGCTTAATTTTACACCCCTTTCAGTACATCCTGCTTGAATTCAACTAATCTATAGTCTTCTTATCAAGAGAAGGTACAGGTAATGATAAAGACTATGTACTCTGCCTGAAATTATGAGACTTGTGTTCAAAATTTGGTTCTGTCCCTTATTAGTATGATGGTGTGCAAGTCACTTAACTCTTCTGAGCCCTGGTGTCTACACCGACAGACTACACTTAACAGCAAGGATCAAAACAGCACTACATAACATAAAGCTTTTGTCTGGTAAATAATATAATTCATGTAAAACACTTAGCACAATGTATAAAACCTTTGAAAAGCTTCCCATTACTACAGATTTTGAACACAAGTCTCTTAATTTCAAGCAGAGGAGGAAGAAAAATACCATCTGCACTCAATACCATCTGTAGTAGGGGAAAAATAAATTAGTTACATAAACAAACATTACAAGTGAGGGAAGGGATTGCCTCAGGAGGCTAAGGCAGGGGAATTGCAAGTTCAAAGCCAGCCTCAGCAACTCAGCAAGGCCCTGAGCATCTTAGTGAAACCCTGTCTCAAAATAAAAAAATAAAAAGGTCTGGGGATATAGCTCAGTTGGTAAAGCACCTCTGGGTTCAACACCCCCCCCCAATAAAATAATTCCAACTGATTAAAAATCTTATACTGAGAAGCATTGCTGTACAGTGTATTTTTCTTTGAAGGGTTCAAGATCCGTGGGCTATTTATTCTGCAGTAGTGAAGTGATAAGTGCCTCCCACTCACCGACCTCTTTCTGGAAGTAAACAGAAGAGCTGGRAAACTGTCTTGCCTTGACTTACTCCTACTGCTTAGCTAAATTTTCACAAGTCTCTTCTTTTTCCCTTTTGTTTGCTAGAATAATTTAAAACATCAAAACAAACATCCCAGGATTATGGTGATCTATCAAGATCAATGCAGGCCAAGACAACAATCCCAGCTACTCAGGAGGCTGATAAAGGAAGATCAAGTTCAAGGCCAACCTGAGCAATTGAGCAAGACCCTGTCTAAAATATAAACTAAAAAAGGGCTGGGGATGTAGCTCAGTGTGAAAGCACTTGTGTACCATATTTGAAGCCCTGGGTTCCATTTGTCGGGGAGTATCAATGTAGGAATGCAGTGGATTTATGCTGGAATGCTCATTTGCTTTTACTGTGTTAAATTTTAGAGTAAATCTGGTCGACCTTCCTTTACTCAGGTAGCATTTTTAATTATGAAATTAAACATAACTTTGTTTTATTTTTGTGGTATTAAGGAGGGAACGCAGGGATTCATGCATGCTAGACAGCACTCTCTCACTGAGCTACACCCCCACGCTAATATTATATTATTTTTAAAAGGATTAAGTTCTTCAAATAAAGGATTCATGGAAAATCAAAGCCATACCAAAATCCTTTTGTCCAAATTTAAAAGTTTCAAACTGGCACAAATAAAGTCCATGGTTTTCAAATTTGCCTGATAATCAAGAAAACAAAGTTCTTGTATTTCAGGCCAAAGAAACTGTGGAATACTACACTACTGTATTTATGCTAGAGACTGGTATTTAATTTCCAAATTGGTGAGGTGAAATGGGCTCAGGGTCTTACCTAGCACACTCTGCAAGTTTTAAAATACAAAGCTTACATTGTTCCCCCCAAATAATTGCTATACCTGACTGAAAATCATTCCACTTATCTAGTGYCATGATGCAATTTAATGAGATCTGATTTCCTAGGGAACTGAATTTTGTGAGGGCAGACTACCTTCGATGTTTACATCACTGGCCACCATAACCTTTTAACTCTAAAATTAGGTAGATTATACATGTAAAAATACACCAGAAGAGATCAGATTTCTGTTATGATGTTCTAAGGCCTCACACAGGATAGCAAAAATAATAGTTCAATACATTCCCTTGTCAGTACATATATAGTTTACTGCTTTCCAATGTTTTTACCCTGATGTTAAATCACCCTGTCCTTCAAAATTCAGGATGGCAACTAAGAGGAATTTGCCATCTAACTAACTTAACTATTATTATATTCCAAATAAAAAAGACTATTTTCTGACCAAAAGGCACTTCTACTAAGAAACTTTTTTAGAGGGGCTGGGGTTGTGACTCAGAGGTACAGCGCTTGCTTTGCATGCGCAAGGCACTGGGTTCGTTCCCCAGCACCATGTTAAAAAAAACTAAATAAACAAAAATAAAAGTATTGTGTCCATTTGCAACTAAAAATATTTTTAAAAATAAACAAATCGTCAAGACTTTGTTTAAAAAAAAACTTCAGAGAATAACAATTCATAACAGAAAACACTGTTAGTTTTGCTAGACAAAATAATTACTAGACAAAGTCAGTCTTCTAACACAGAATTTATTTAATATACTCCAGTACAAAGGAGATTATGTTTGAATGTCTTGGGATTCTCGGGATTAAACCCAGGGGTGCTTTACCACTCAGCTGCTTTCCCAGTCCTTTTTTTTCTTTTTTCCTTTTCTTAATTTGAGACAGGTTCTTGCTAAGTTGCTTAAGGCCTCCCTAAGCTGCTGAGGGCCTCAAATTTGAGATYGTCCTGCCTCAACCCCCAGAATCAGTTACAGGTATGCACCACCAAGCTCAGCTTTAATCTGTTTTAAATATTTATTATGAGGAGCAGTTTGTAGCCACATTCTAGGCATCTAAAAAAAAAAAAAAAACATGATGTTCAATTAGCTAACATTATGTTTATTTAGCTTTCCATAGCACAAGAATTTGATATGCACTTACTCTGAATTCATCTTTAATCTGTTTTAAATATTTATTATGAGGAGCAGTTTGTAGCCACATTCTAGGCATCTAAAAAAAAAAAAAAAAAAACATGTTCAATTAGCTAACATTATGTTTATTTAGCTTTCCATAGCACAAGAATTTGATATGCACTTACTCTGAATTCATCTATACATACTAAAGGAATTAGCACTGATTTAAATATTGGTTCCCTTAGCTGCTCCTTGGTTTCCCAATGTACATGTAYCTCTCAGAATATAAATAACACTACCCTCACTATTCATGTTTCTTATGTTACTTGTAGTTTTTACACATTGTGACTTGTAAATCCAACTACTTCATCTGGAGCTCAGGGGGGGGGGGGAATAGCAGTTTTTCCAACTGGAAGGAAATCTGGCCATGTCAAAACTTTTTAGCACTGATATTTCTATGTCCAACATGATGCCTCCCTGAGATTTTCAAGGACCTTTTCTGTGCAAGGCACAATGCTAGGTACTGAACAGACACTTAACTTTTTAGAGAGAGAACTTGCATTCAGTAACAGATAAGGTTGCATGTGAGTAATTTAAAGAAAAATAGAACACAGTTAAATGCTAAGAACGGAAATCAAGCACTCAAGAGTTAAGAAAAGGAATAGAATAAGCCATCAAAGAAGCTTATTTTTTTGTGTTTGTTTTGGTAGTATGGGGGAATTGAACTCAGGGGTGTGCACTTTACCACTGAGTTACACCCTGAGACTTCATTTTTGTTTTGAGACAGTATCTAAGTTGCCCAGGATGGCCTTGAACTTGCAATCCTGCTTCAGCCTCCTAAGTAGCTGGTATTACAGGCACGTACCACCATGCCCCACAAGGAAGCTTAACAGTTGTGGCACTAAAGTTGTGGAAGTTTAATGAAGACAAAGTCGTCTTTCACTTAGGATTGCAAAAAATCACAAATTATACAATCCAAAAATCACAATGAAGGGGATCCTGATTTCTAGAAAAAGTAGGCTAGGTAATTAAGACCAATCCTCCACTACTGTATTAAAAAAGATCTATATATTTTTTTTCTTTTGTCTGTTTCACTATTTTTTTTTTTTTGAATGCTGGTATTGAACCCATTCCTTCCACATGCTAGGCAAGTGCTGCACCACTGAGTTACATCCCCAACCCTAAAGTTGAAAAGTTCTTTAAAAATAATTCTGAAATAGAAAAGCTAACAAGATAGTAAACAATCTGAATAAAATCTAGGAGGATGTTAAAAATCATAAATTAAGTCTAATATTCACAGTGGATTTCATCCTGATGATTTATCTGACCTGAAAGCCACAGTTTCAATGCCAGCATGTGGCAGAATGTGGAAGCTGATAAACACCTCCCTCTCCATCTTAGTCTGGTACCCCAAAGAACTATGGTACCCTCAAGATAAAGGTGAACTTGGAAGTAAAAAGCAAGAATGGACAGCACAAACAGACCCAAAGGGAATTCACACTGTGAAATTAATCATCAATTATAAAACACTATGCTTACTATCTTTAAAGAAATAAAAATCAAATCTCAAAATCAGTAGTAGGGAATAAGAAACAGTAAAACAGTGGCAAACTCAAATTTCTTGGTTCAGGAACTAAAAAAATTCAAGAATAGACACATGTCTAGCATGAGCAAGGCTCAGATTTGATCCCCAGCACTGCTAATAAAGAAACAAATATTAAAAATGCAACAACTGGATTTAACATTTCAGTGGATGAGTATCATAACAGACTGGAAATAAGAGAATTAATGAAGAGATTATCCAGAATGTAGTAGAAAAACAGAGAGAGACATATAAAATAGAAAAGTCTGTTACAGTGAACAATAAACAATGGGACAGAGCAATTTGTGAATATAAAATGGATGAGGATTTTATATAACTAATGAAAGACACTAATCCACAGAGTCAAAAAAGTCCAATAAATTCTAGACTAACTGAACAAAAACAAATCATAGACACATCAGTGAAAATACAAAATAATCAAAGACAAAGATAAAACAATCTTAAAAACTAATCATATTTAAGAAAAAAGACAAATGTTRTGCCAGGCAGAGACAGATAACTGTTAAGAGTAAACATACTCAAAAAGTTAAATTTAGCTTCCACAAAGGCATATGACACCATGATTGAGCCTATGGCCAAACTACACACTTAAATTACTTCGTTTATCAGATATGTGGTTTTTCAATTTAAGAAGCAGCAGCCTGACCCTAACCAAACATCAAGATTTGCAGAAGGTAAGCCTGGTGCACACCTGTAATCCCAGCTACTCAGAAGGCTGAGGTAGGAGGATCCAATTTTGAGGCCAGCCTCAGCAACTTGTGAAGCCCTAGGCAACCTTAGTGAGACAGTCTCAAAATAAAAAATAAGAAGGGCTGGGGTTGTGGCATAGTAGTAAAGTGCCCTTGTGTTCAATCCTCAGAAATCGCCCGAAAACTTTCTTGGAAGGTAAAAGTGAAGACTGATAAACAAGTACATGGTCTTGACATAATTTTTTCTTTTTTAAAAACCTTAAGAATTTCCCCATACGGTAAAGGCATTAAGACTTCAGTAAAGAAAAAAACTGGGGCAGCCTTTACTTTCAGACATTCACAAACTGTTCACAGCTCATCTTGGGTTCTATTTGGAATATATAAAAGCTGCCTTTATCTCAGCTCAATTTCTTGTATCAGAAGGAGTCTACACACGGATTTCTTTCAAACGTTTCAGCAGCAGTGCTCTCCAAACCACTTTATGGTGTCCCTGCGGACACACCAAAATCAGCCAAATAACTTAAGAATAGACAAATCCTATCTCATAGCTGATACAAAAGAGGTCATTAAGAATCTGACCACCAGGCTGAATTTGGCTTCCTAGGTCCCATTTAAGACCTTTTCCGCCAGACTACTTGCGGGTAAGGGTCTGAGAATATGCATTTTTAAGTTAAGGGCCACAGATCGTGTTTTCCCCGCGGCTATGAACGAACAGGTATCCCCTTTCTCCGGGGTGGGCGGGATTCCCAAGGGCCAACAACTCTCAAATGCCAAGTCTCGACTCTCGATCTTTCAGTTACAAGAAAATGCACTTGGCACAGCAAATGAACATAATAAATGTGTTTCCCATGCTGCACTTATCCCATTTCCAACAGGAGTTCCCTGTCGCCTGAGCAGCCTGGAGCTGTTTCAAGACCTCTGGGACACAGCCGGCCCAGGCCAGTAGAAAAGTGGAGAGAGCCGACAAGATCCGCTCAGGGAACCTCCCCAGACCACCCAGCTGCCTTCCCACAGGCTCCCTCCGCTCCCTTGCAGGCTGGGCCCCGCGAGCTCGAAACCCCGGCCACTCAAGACACCCTGCGAGTACGCGGACCGAGAACAGGCCTGGCACTACCCCTAACACTAGGCGCAGCTCACCATCTCCTCGGCGAATAGGTCCAGGTTTCGCCGCCTGGCCAGGACCCAGGCCGCACTCACCTACCAGCGCGCGGGAGGCGAGACTCCCTCCCCTCGGTGGCGCCCACCCCAAACCGCCACCTCAAAGGTCGCTCACACTTAAAAAAAAAAAGAAGAAGAAGAAGAAGAGGAAGAAGAAGAACAAGAACAAGAAAAAAAAAGAGAGAGAGAGAAGAAAGAAAGAAAATAGTCTTTGCTTTTGTATTCCTTTTGACCCTTCAGGGCTTCCTGTTCCTCACCGCCACAACAAAGCTCCGCCCCACTTCCGGCGGCTTAACCCAATCAACAGCTCTCTTCCTTCCTAAGAGCACGGTGGAAATCCGGTGCCCCAAAAGCGAGCCGGAGAGACTTGATTGGGCCAGTCACTCCTCAGCAAGGGGATTGGGCAGTTTACGCCTGAGGGGCGGGCCTGGCTGAGATCTCACGTGACACCATCCTTGAAAGATAATTGGCTGTTAGGGAGAGGGATTGCCACCTAGGAAGGGGCGTTTCCTAGGGGACTGAGGGAGGATCAGGGCGGTACGAAGCGGGGGTGGGCCCTGCGCGTAATGGCAGCGCYGTGGCCTCGCGTCCATCTTTACCGCTCTCTTGGACCTGTCACAAAGGAGTCGTGCCGCTACCGCTGTCCCATTCCTCCTGTGGCCCCAGGAGCTGGAGAAAGTCAGTGCTGCGTCCGGGTCGCGCTGCTCCGGGAACCCCCCTGGGGACGGGGGTACGGAAGGGAAGGGAGTCCGAGGGCTGAACCCGTCTGTGAGGGTGGGCAACAGTCGCTCGAGCCTGGGACGGAGAGACAGGACTGGGGCTCCGGCAGGCTCCTCAAAGGGGCCCGGTAAGGGGTGATGTTGGGCAGAGCCCGGGAAGCAGCTTGGAGGTTCTCCACCAAGGCCTGCGCCGAAGGCGCCTGAAGAGGTTCCTGGAGGAGGGTGTTCCCCCTTGGGGGGCGCTGGGATCTTGACTGGAGGAGGTTTTTGGGGGGGTCACCTTTCGGAGGACGCTGCGGCTAACCAGGCCCAGGTGAGAGGCAGGTATCCCCCGGGGAGGCTCCCGGTATTGAGTAGCGCTTCTCAGCGGTGCCTGGGGTAGAGGGGAGGACGTTTGGGGAGGAGGATTTCCCTTTGTGGAGTTTGCGGTTCCTGTGGGAGGCAGAGCCCCCCCCCCCCCCGGGACATTTAGAAACGCCCCGGGATCGAGAGCCCCCTTTGAGAGAGAGGCGAGTAGGTAGGAGCCAGACTTAGCGGATTCTCCTGCTCCCGAGGCCCGGGCTGAAAATTGGGTAGGGACCTTGGGGAGAGGGGATTTCTGGGAGGTTCTGGGAACGAGACAGCTCCACTCATTGGAAAGCCTGAGTGGGGGAATAGCGGAGGAAATGGGAATGGCCGGAGGTCTGCCCTCTCTGGAGGCCGACCAGGTGTCCCAGACACAGGATTCAGCTGCTTCTGGGCTTAGTGCCAGGATGGGGTGGGGAGAGTCCATTTCAGCAACATCTCCTGCATGGCCCCAGATTAGACATTTGTCCCTGCCTGTTGCCTCCTTTCCCTGTTTTGGGGGGAGGGAGACGGAAACAGAGGCAGAGATATTTAACTGAGACTCAGAGCTTCTATCTGGTAGAGTTGAGTGAGGTTGCTCCCCCTGGAGTGTTGTACTTTGTACTTTCAAGGGTTGGAAGTGTCTACTATTGACTGAGTAGTCTCATAGTTTACAGGTCCTTCACCTACCATCTGCTTGTCCTTCTTTAGTGGAGTTACTGAATCTCCTTGAGTTTCTAGTGTAAAATAGCCAACGCAGTATGTGAAAGTATTTTGCAAACTCAGGCTGTGTGTGAAAGTTAGGTACTGTAATCCTACCACCAAACAGGTTGCTCTTGAGGAATAAAAGTGAAGGCCCTTTCCAAACTGTAGAGCAGAACGCAAATGTCAGAGATTAGCATTAATACAGAGGTCCATCACCTATTGAGTGCTGGGAGCCCGAATGCAACTGAAAACTCAAAGGTTCCCACCTTCTTAGGTCACATTACAATCTAAACCTTTGGTTTCAAACCTTACTACCATGGAGGTGGAGGGATTTCCCRTTTTGGCTCTGAGTTTTAATTTACTTTGAATTTATGATGATGCTGGCAGGAGTAAGACTATAATATAATCTTTTCATACAGGAATTTCCTACTGAAATTTTCCTCCAAGTAATTTGATCTCAGTTTTGTAAACCTCCCCCTTTTGTATGTATGTATATATTTACAGCCTTAGGATGTCTAGAATTAGTGAATACCATGCTTCCGCTCTCAGATATGTTTTAGATATGAGATTTATTTATATATATATAAATCATATCTGATTTTTATATATATAAATCAGATCTGATTTATATATATGTATATATATATATGTATATATATATCAGATCTGATTTATATATGAAAACACTTTTTAACATTCTTTTCCATAAACGTTCTCTTAAGTTTTCACTTTATATAAAGTTTGCATTCCTAGGATGATATCTTTAGATCCTTCTAAGAGGTTATAAGATACTTGTGTCCAAGGGCTGGGGTTGTAGCTCAGTGGTAGAGCACTTGCCTCACAGGCATGAAGCCCTGGATTTAATCCTCAGCACTATATAAAAATGAGTAAATAAAAATAAATATATTGTGTCCATCTACAACTAAAAAAAAAATTTTTTTTAAAGATACTTGTGTCCATGTGTGACACTTCATGAATGTTCAGTTAGTGGCATATGTTCGAGCTAATTTTCCAAATATTGGGTAATTTAGTTGTGATTTTTGAAGTAGGGTTTTTATTTTGTTTTTTGTTTTTAAACTGATCTGGATTTCCTGCTTTTCTGATATTATAKTCCATGGGTCATTGTTGTTTTTTATTTATTTATTTTTTTTAGGATATTTGGTGTTCAATGTCTCTACGTCCCGTTATTTTGCTTTTTCACAACCCCTTCCATTTTTTTTTTCTGTACTCAATGATATTTTTAAGGTATCGATTATAGGAAGTGTTCTAGCTTATCCTATCTGGACGTTTTTCCTGCTTTGTCAGCAAAATAATTATTTAGCAAGTGTCAAGGGGAATTAAAACTTAGCATACTATATAATAGTGTGTTATTTTGTAATGACTAGGGGGGAAATCCAACAGCTCTAACCTATGCTTTGGTAAGAGTTTAACAATGGAAATTGTTGTGTGTTCCTGATGTGCATTTACTACAATCTCTTTCAACTCATGAGGTCAGTCCACTCCATCAAGAATTGTATATATTTTCCCCAATAATGATGTCATTTGTTAGAATGGGATGGGAAGTCACGTTACATCCTTTACAACAACTTTCTTTAATACCTTTAAGATCTGTGTAATTTGGAGAAATTATTAGGAATTTTTGAAGATAATAATGACTGTTATACAACTTTAAATTGTAAATTTTCTGGTTTTGTTTTTTGGGTGTTATTTTGCAGTACTGAGGATTAAACTCAGGAGCACTCTACCACTGAGCTACATTACATCTCCAGCACCCACTCCCCATCTTTTTTTTTTTTTTTTAATTTTGGGATGCTGAGTTGCTGAGGCTGCCCTCAAAACTTGTAATCTTCCTGCTTCAATCTCCCTAGTTGCTGGGATTACAGGCATGTACCACCACATCTGGCAAATTTTCTGTATTTTGTGGTAGGATCCTTATGAAGAAAAATGTGATAATTTCTGGGTTCCAAAAGTAAATAGAAAGTCAATGGGCATCACAGATGAGAAGCACAGTAAAACCAGTAATCTATTCTAGAAGAGCTATTTGGGGATAGTAAACTATGTATTTAGTGTCTCTTCAAGCTTTTGCTTTTTTTTTTTTTTTCCCCTCCTCCTCCCCAGGCCTGGGGATTAAGCCCAGGGTACTACATCCCCACCCCTTTTTATTTTTTTAAATTTTGAAACAGGATCTCTTTGAATTTCTCAGGCTGACCTCAAACTTCTCCTGTGTTAGCCCCTCTAGTGCTGGGATTACAGGCCTGTGCAAACAAGCCTGATGCTTTTGGCATTTTCAAGACATTTACCATTTACTATTGAATGTGGGTAAATTTTTTCATGGTATTCAAATTAGAAATTTGGAAAACAAAATATTCAAGAAGTAGTAAGTACCAAAACTTGGGCCATAACTTTTAGGAGAAAACTTTTACTTTTAGGAGTACAAAAGAATGAATATTTTTTCTATTATTTATTCAGTAAGTCAGTTTTGAAGAAGTTTTCTTGCTGACCTTTATGACTAGAAAAATATACAGGCTTATTATATTTTGCTCTTAGTATCCTTCCCCAAAGGGAGAGTTGCTGGTTAAATATGTAAAACAGTAACTATAGATAAAAATAAGGTATATTCAAGGTTAAATCAGGCAAAGTTACCTTTAGTAGTGAGTTCTTTAAAAGTATTCCCCTTTCTCTGTTTTCTGAGCTTTTGAGAATTAAGAATAGAATTGAGATGCATTCAAATTTGTTAAAGAATGAACTCTATGTGTTGCTTTTCTATTGCTTAAAATTACAGTTTCTGGCATAATTTCATGAACCCTGTACACCTCAAATAGGAGGTTTGAAATACTTTACTCAGCAAATATAGCATTACCTCATAGTTTAATGTTTCAGTGTTAGTTTTTTCTTACCCCTCCACATTTCCTTCTTTGTTCACTTAGTGCAATGATTCTCAAAATATGACTTCTACCCCACCCCTTCTCATGGGAAATGCAGCTCTTTTTCCCCCTACTTTTCTTTGGCAGTGCTGGGAATTGAACTCAGCCTTGCACATGCTAGGCAGCTGCTGTACCACTTTGCTACATCCCCTACCTTGTTTTATTTTGACACAGGATCTTACTAAATTGCCCAGGGTGGCCTCTAATTTGTAGTCCTCCTGCCTTATCTTCTCAAGAAGTTAGAATTACAGGCGTGCATCACCACACCTGGTGACAGCTCCTTTTTTTTCTGTTCTTATTCATGATTGTTCACCCTTGCCTGTGTCTGAGCTACTTATTAATAACATACCAAGTGAATTACTAAGGATAACTAAAACATAGTATTTATAACCTAAAACTAAACCAATTAGAATTTACTATGGTCATTAATACCTTTTTATCCCAGGTAGTCTGCCCTGGGAAACTTGGCACTGATACAGAACTTCTCACATGTCATATGTGGAATGAGGATTTCTGCAGTATTCAGGAAGGGTGCTTAGTTTGGGATACATCATCAGTATTGTCTCAAAATTATTTCTG